TTTTTTTTTTTTTTTTTTTTTTTTTTTTTGTTATTTCTTTGCGGGAGAAGAAGAAGAGGATGTACATAAAGTTCAAGGAAAAAGGGTTCCAAAAGCTGGGGTCCAGTGGAAAGATGCCACCCCTGCTTCCAGAGAAGGGATAGGGATTATAGGAAAGCCCTCTGCTTAGAATTAATGAGGAAAGTAGAAAGATCATATAAAAAAGGACTAAAAAAGAACCATTTCAACTTCTGTTTGTAGCATTAAGATGAAAAATTGAGAAATTTTATCAACTGCCAGCCTATACGAGAAAGAACAACCCTCGTTTAATGATGCAAAGATTCTTGATTAAAGAGTCCAAAGAGATATTCAGAATAGTCTAGATTACTTTTTCAGCTGTTCAAACAGAACCAAAAATGCAAAACCCGCAAAATGAAGTAAACAGAACTTACCAAAAGCTAAGTAGTTGATTTGCACGCAGAATTCAAGACCTTCTAAGAAACGCGACTGTAGTTCACTTTCTTCTAATGTCGGAATGCCTTTTTTAGGACAAGAACGCTACAAAATAAATAAACAATTAGTTTAGAGCAGAATGAACAGTGGAAAGCGAAAATAATCGCGCAAAACAACAACAAAAAATAAAAAATCGTGCCCTAAATACAGAGATCGGGCAAAGAATTTGGTTACCTGAGAAAGAGATTACAGATGATAAGGAAGAAAAAGGAGAATTGAAGCAGTAATTAATGTCGATTGGTAAAAAAACAAAAGATTAGAGAGAAAAAGAGGGATACCTGGGAAGGAGAAGGAGAGGAAGCAGCAAGGCATGGGCGACGGTGGTGGCAGTGGCGGTGGCGGTGGCGGTGGGAAGAGAGGAGTACTGGAGGAGGGGGCGTAGTGGGAGAGTACAGTCGGAAGAAGGTTATGGTGTGAATTAGTTAGGAATTTGGGGGCATATGCGTGATTTTGGATATAACAAGGCCAAGGGAAATGTGACATCTACATCTAAACTTTATTTATTTTTTATTTTTTTCTCACTAAAATTTGAATTAATTTTCTTATAATACAAATATATTTTAATTTTAATTTATAATTATTTTTGTTAATTTGTCCTCCCACCCTTCTTAAAAATAATAAACAAAATGTTTTTTTTTCAAAATATTTAAAAATAAATAAATATATATTTTATATATTAACCTGTTAAAAATGAGGCTTTGATATCTAAGAATGAGAAATAGAATTGGGATAGAAAGTGCAACAAACATAGGTGAGATCAAAAGTCTAGCAGGATCTAAAGTCCAATTTTGATCATGTTCACAACGTTTAAATAAAATATAAGCTACCAACTCATACCTAAAAATAAGAAAATATAAACTAACTAAATCTTGGGAATAAAATAAAATATACTACTAATCAAATAGAAAAAATTAATGAATATATTCCATAACTAATTATTATAATATATTCTAATACTCTCGTCAAGTTGGAGGGTGTAGGTCAATAACTCCCAACTTGTCTTTACGACTGTAAGTTAATAACACTCAACTTGTCTTTACGAGTGCAGGTCAATAACACTCAACTTGTCTTCCAAAAAATAAAATGTGGTCAATAACACTCAACTTGTCTTCCAGAAAATAGAGAGTGTAGGTCAATAACACTCAACTTATCTTTGAGAAGAGATTGTAGGTCAATAACACTTTTTGTCTTCCCAATAGTGAAAATATCTACCAAATTAGCTCTAAACAAGTATTTGCAGATAATCTAGACACATTGGTTTTCTTTTTAGACTTTCAAGAAGTTATTGAATTTCCAACAAAATGCAAAACCATTTAATTGATTTGCTTTTTAGACTTCTCAAGAATTTGATATAACAACTGTATTGAAAAATAAAACATTTAGATTTTAAATATCAAAGAAACTAAATACGATAAAATATCATACAAACAGAAAATAAAATTCAGATTATTTTGTTGATATTCTCTCGTTGGAGATCGAATCACTATACAAGTAAGATTGATCAAGTCAAGCTTGAATAATTCAAAGCATGCAACCTAAATGTAACAGTCGAGTTCCAACAAGAATTAAATTTTCTCGATTTCCTTTAAGACAAAATTTCGGGATTTTATTAAGGATCTTAAAGGTCAAATTTGAGGAACTGGTAGAGGAGAAAAATGCTTGAAACAATCCCGAAAACCAAGAAATAAAATAAAATAGTGAAAAAAACGGAGAGTGAAGGGGTTAGGGTTTGAGAGGAAGAACGGAGAGCGAAGATTCTTTCAATCCAGCATTTGGAGCTCGAAATCGCCCAAAAAGTCTTCATAGGAAGTGATCATTGAATCCAGGAGCAGAGATTTAGGCGTTTGGACCGTTCGATTACGTTAAGATCCGAGAAAGAACGAAGGTGAGTTCTATGGGTTTTTAGGTCTCGATTTTTCTCATGATCCGTGAGCATTTGAAGGAATTAGCTTATGTGATTTTAGTATGTTAATCTTAGTGTGTTTTCACACATTTTTTGTGAAGGAATCTGGAGTCGAATCGAATTAGGAGTTCTGAGAAGACTCCAAGAACAATAAGAACTTTCAACAGCGCGATTATATTAGTCTACGGATATTTAAAAATTATATGAAAAATTGATGGAAACTCTAAAACTTTGATGAAGAAATTTTATTGATCTAAGATATGTGCAACAAGATAATAAAAAAATTAAAAAAAAATGAAACAAAATAGATCTAATCGTCAGATTCTGGAACTTACGTAGGTAGACGATTTCGGTGGGACACACGTCGATAGATCGGCAGGAGAGCGCGCCTAGAGAGCCTTGGACACGTGTCCGGCTTCCAACTAGAGCTACACAGCTGAATTCCAATGGAAACGTTGTAATTTTGAATAGTATGTAGTTGACATATGAGGATTATGTTCAAATAATAACCTAAAGGGTCTATACTATATGGATAAGGACAGGTACCTTATCTTGGTAACACTATTGATACGGCCCAATTTGTAATGGTTATAAATGATTTGATCCAAATCGTTCGTGTGGAAACATGTGAGTGGGGTATCTTAAGATTAGACCAAGAAATATTTAACATCTTTTTATAAATCCGTTACTTGAGAAGATTAATATTTCACATGATGATTATATGCGACTCGATCTTAATCCTAAGTGAATTGTGAACTTTACCGGTAAGAATTTGTCATTTGATTTGGATGGGTGAGACTGGCTCTTGTAGTTGATTCAATATGTCTACCATTTTTTAGATTTGACCAAATAGAGAGTTCGGAATATAATATCAGGAAATGGATTTACTCTTCTCCAGATTTAAAAAAAAAAAAAAACTAGATGAATTTCTTTAAGTGCTGAGTTTGGGACTCGAACAATGACCCACCCTCTTATTCACTCAAGAGAGGATTTGGTTGTGATTGGATCATAAACAAATTATTCATTAGAGAACGAGTGGTACTAAGGTGAAAGATGTAATTACAAGGGTAAACGGACTTTTGACCCAACTGTAATTATGAATAACTCAGATTGACCTGTTTGTAATGATTATATCTATGAACATAATTTATCCTATAGTGCATAAGAGTACAATTCTAAGTCTAGTAGAAAAGTTACAGTTAATTAATGAAAATTGATTAATGGAAGAGATTAATTAACTAATATTATCTATTAGAACTTACAATTTGTAGGACCAAAGTCACCCGCCAGACAGTAACATTGAACTTGGAAAGAAAATTTTGAAGGATCATATATTAAAAGAGATTTTTTTTTGATACATTAAATATCAAAATAATTAATGAATTTTAGATACATTAAATAACTACATAGGTTTGAAATTTGAATTTGAATGAGATTGAAATTAGTTAAATATATACGGAGACTCATAACCAGTTGAATAAGATATTTTATCTTAATATATTAAATATTTAAATATATTATTTATTAAAGATTATCTAAGAGCCCTATAAATAGTAATATTGGGTCGAGCCAAATGTGTTTGATCTCTAACACTTTCTCTACTATAATTCTCTTGAAATTCTTTCAAGAGACTCCCACAAACTTTGACTTTATATTTGAATCATATCAAAGAAGATAATATGAAATTTGAAACTGATGTATTGAGTTTCTAGAGTTCTTACTCTCTTATTTGTTTATTTATTTTAATTCTTAATAAAATCAAAATGGTTCATCTCCATAAGGATGGAGAATTCATTTCCTTCAATGAAATTTTGGCCTTATGAGAGGACTTGAGTTCTTTTAGTGTCCATACCTCTTCTAACAATTTGAACTCCAAGGGTACTAACCTAATGATCAAATAGGTTGATGCATATTTATACCATCCGCTCAAAATGTCTTTGGTAGTATAGAATGAATTCTCATGCTCATTGCCCGCTCATTAAATGTTTTGTTCATCATTTCTGTAACACCATTTTATCTTGACTTACCAAGAGTTGTCCTTATCAATCTAATTCCCTAGCTGCATAAAATGTTTTTCTGATTTGTCGCACCCTCATTGTCTGACCTCAGACATTTGATCTTCAAGCCAGCATAATTTTCAACTTTAACTTTACACTTCTTGAAGGTAACAAACACATCTGTCTTATGTTTCAGTAAATAAATTTATACCTTCCTGCTGAAACCATCGATGAAGGTAGCATAGAACTTTGATCCACCAAGTGATGGAAGTGGAGATGATCCCCGAACGTTTGCATGGATCATTTTCAACCGCCTCAAATGTCTGTATGGACCATTTTCAATTATACTTTCTTCTATTCTCTAACAGTCTTTGCGAAACTAACTCGTTTATGTTTTCCCAGAATGCAGCTCTTACAAAGATCCATATCAACAGATTTCAAGCCTTCTAAAACTCCTTTCACAGTCATCATCTTCATTCCTTTAGCGCTCATATGTTCAAGTCTATTGTGTCATACACTTGAAATGAAAGTAGTCTCAACGACGACTATGTTTATACACCCTAGAGTGGTGTATAAGGTTCCAGATTTTGTGTCACGTGTTACCCCCATAGCATCCTTCATAATCTTCCACGATGTAACGACTCGGGGAAAAGAAGAAAAAACAAAAAAAAAAAAGGAAAAAGAAAGGAAAAAGAAAAAGAAAAAGAAAAGGAAAAAAAAAAACTCAGTTGTCGAGTTTCGCGGATCCCACGCAAAACGACAACCACACCACGCTCAGCCTTCAGCCCACGCTCAGCCTTCAGCTCACGACTCCCACAACCTATCAGAGTACCTGCAAACAGAAAAAAGAAAGAAAATACGAGAGAGAGAGAGAGAGATTTCGAATAACATCGGCGAGTTTCACTTTTTTCCGACGAGTCCCAAACTACCCAAAAATCGATGCCAAATGCTCAGTTACCATCACGAGAAGGATCCCTAACGATAGCACAATAACTCAAAGTACGTTTTATGCCTATTCGTAAGCATCATCGTCGATAACCGAGGTCGAAAAATTGAGTTTTCCTAAACGTTCTTAGATATGTGGTTTTAGGAACTTTTAGGCCACAAAACTTCGAGGAAGGAAAGAGGGACGACAAACAAAGAGGAAAAGGAAGAAAGAGGACCAAAATTGGCAACGGAAACGCCGTGAGAAGGAAAGAGAAAACGCGTCGAAAAATTGTGCAGAAGTCAGGTAAGGAAGAAGGATCCATTAGATCCGGGTCAGCCAAAACCAAATACCTAGACCCGAGGCTCAAACCAATCTAAGTCCAGCCCGTGAAATCGAGGCCCAACTATAGCGACGCAAACCTCAATCTAGCCGAGAAGCCACGGTTTAGCTGAACCAATCCGAGACCAGACCCACGGTCCAATCAAACCGACCTACAACCCAAACACTTGCAGCCTAGTCCAGTAAACTGAGGCCCAACAACTAGCCAGACCCAGTAGCCTTCTACAGGAGTCGACCCAAACCAAA